CATCACAAACAAAAAAAATTATTCTGTTCACACCAACACATATTAAACCACACATGAGTTACAGAATAAACCCAGTCTACCACTCAGCTCTAACCCTGACCACTCAACCCAGCACATGAGTTACAGAATAAACCCAGTCTACCACTCAGCTCTAACCCTGACCACTCAACCTAGCACATGAGTTACAGAATAAACCCAATCTACCACTCACCTCTAACCCTGACCACTCAACCCAGCACATGAGTTACAGAATAAACCCAGTCTACCACTCAGCTCTAACCCTGACCACTCAACCTAGCACATGAGTTACAGAATAAACCCAATCTACCACTCACCTCTAACCCTGACCACTCAACCCAGCACATGACATTCCTTTGGTAAGTATTTCGCGTGTTTGGTTCAGGGATAAATACAGTTATTTTCTGATGGGTATATTGCTCACTGCGTATCAACTTAATGTGTTTTAACGCATGATTAAACACCGCTAATGTAGTCAGTTTGTTATACGTGGGTGTGTGTGTGTGTGTGTGTGTTTATTTTTCAATTTCATGTTTGTATGTTAATGGAGGTTACGTACAGAATTCTTCACACGGATATTATTACATTTCTTTTATGGTGCACACACACACACACACACACACACACACACCATTTAGTAAGTGAAAGCAACACTACTATATACATAACTTACAGCGTGCATGACAGATGGAATGTATATCGATAATGCGTTAACACTGGACACGATATTAGTGAGAATTCAGAGAGGCTTGAGAACGTCTGTCACATTCATGCATCTATAAACATACTATCTGAGTAAGAATGTTATTATCATTTTTGTTGTAGGGAATAAACTGTTATCATTCGTGTTTTCGTAGAGTAAGAAAGTTATTAGAATGTTATTAATTCTCGTGTCGTAGGCAAGGAACTGTTATCAACCGTGTGTTTGTATCGTGTATGTTATTAAAAATTACATGAGTTTGATGATATGCATACAGATATACATGATGAATACACCACAAAGGATACATAGCCTGGGATATCTATGTATTTTCTGATACAGTACTGTGTATTAATTATATCAATTATTCATAGGCAGTACCTAGGTTAGGTTAGGTTAGGTTATGTTGTATTTCCTATATGTCATTGTTGATGGATTAATGTCATTATTAAAGTAGTTACGCGCTTAATGACCTTACCTGTTGAAACGCTGTAATGACATTATAACACCAACGCTCACCTGGACACACCCATAAAACACGTAAATATATAAATCTGTACATGACTCGAAGTTTAAATCTACTACCTGTACCCAAACGCCTGGAAAGGAAGGAAGGAAGGAAGGAAGGGAGGAGGGAAGGAAGGAAGGAAGGAAGGAAGGAAGGGAGAGAGGCAGGCAGGAAGGAATGAAAGAAGGAAGGGAGGGAGTGAGGCAAGCAGAAAAGAATGAAAGAAGGATGGAAAGAAGAAAGGAAGGGAGAGAGACAGGAAGGAAGGGAGGAAGGAAGGAAGGAAGAAATAAGGAAGGAAGGACGTGACAAAGCCGTTTATCACACCGTAAACTACAGGTGTACTTGGGTGTCGAAATATCTCATGGCACTAAATTTCACTCATGAATAAATCTCTGCCGCATTGCTTGTCGTTCCTAAACTCACAGCCTGGCTCACTGATCCTTCAAATTGGGTCATATTTTACCTGAAAACGACCAACATACATCAAGAATCTGACGGCTATCCCCTTGAGCACCTCCACTGAATATTTTTATCGATGAAAAAAAAAAAAAAAACGAGAAAACGGGTATTGTAATTTTCCGAGTAAGATTTGTAAGAGGTTAAAGGAAGGTGTGTGTTGTTATGTCAGGTTAGGTTTAGTTTAGGTTAGGTTAGGTTTACGTTAAGTTAGGTTAGGTAGAACGTTGAATACATAGGCAGGTAAACCTCCTAGATGATTTAAATCCCGTATGTCAGCTCCCACAAATGTCATCAGAAATATGAGAGTAAATCCCACCTGTTAGTTTAAAATATAGGTATATGGATGACGATGTGGTGATGTGATTATACAGATGGTAACTCGACCCTGACGTTGATATATTCAGAGGACTCTACGATACTAAGAGGATTTTATATAACGTGTAGTCATCCATAATCATAGTCATCCATAATCATAGTCATCCGTAATCATAGTCATCCTTAATCCTAGTCATCCACATTCATAGCCATCTGTAATCATCTTCTCTGACCACTAAAGCAGGGTTTACTACGACTACAAATCTGCTCTCTCGTCATAACATCCCATAAACAGCTTTTACTAACATAACGAGCATTCACACCGGATCATCTTATCATTTGATTATACGAGAACCTCTATAATTCTGTAACTCTATGATACATAAAGTTGTAGATCTATACTTCGCAGTCATATAAAAGTTGTGAGAAATATATGAAATTTGTTCACTTTTATCTGGGAAATACTATAATGTAAAATTCTCTTATATATAATATGTATGTGAAATCGACTCCGTCACCAGCCAGCATCAAGACGCCATAACAGTTGTAGTATTTGAGAATGTGATATAGTAAAACATCCATATAACGGACTTCTATATAACGGACTTCCATATAACGGACTAACTTCTTATAGTCAGCTAGAAGGAGGTTTTATATATAACGGACCACCCTCTCCTATACAGTCCGTTAAATAGAGGTTTTACGGTATTCGGAGTTGAGGACGGCTTAGAAGGTATCTAGAATGGAAGAGTTTTTTATGAGGGCATTCAGATACGGTGAAATTCCTGAGGCTCTGAGACAATGAGGTGTTTATTGGTGACTTGTCTGGTGCATATTGACGATAGTGTATATATGTACATGTATACACACATATATACACACACGCACATATATACACACACACACATATATATATACTTATACACATACATATATATATACTTACACACACACACACACACACACACACACACACACACACATATACACACACATATACACACACACACACACAATGAAAGTCACCACCACAGTCGGGTCCACGCACACCTGGACCAAATAACTACCTGTCTCCTAAAACACAGGTAATTTAAAGAGTTAGTAGTCTCGTAAAATAAGACACATAATATAAAATCATTGAACATGCAATTCTTTGACAGTAATGCCGAACTCTTTTTTTTATTATTTTTTTTTTATTATTTAGGAGACGTTTGGTATGTCAGGAAACAAAAGCCAGATAGTGTTGGACTTTTTTCTTTTTACTTTTTTTATTTGATGGAATTCTTTTTAATGTTGGGATTTTGCGGTGTAATAATTTATAACATTAGTACTTTGAGGAATGATTTGTGTCTCTTATATAGCAGTTAAGTATAAGGTGTGGTTATTTATTTATTTTTTGAGAGAGAGAGAGAGAGAGAGAGAGAGAGAGAGAGAGAGAGAGAGAGAGAGAGAGAGTCTGGGGGTTATTTAAGAGCTAGGTGGTATGTGATATTCTTGTATTGTAGTTTGTTATTGAGGAGGAAGAGAAGAGGTGGAATAATTGGAAGAGGAGGAGGAGGAGGAGGAGGAGGAGGAAGACGGAAATAACCAGAGACAGAGAGAGAGGATATGGAAGAGGGGGAGAATAACGAGGAAGAAAAGGAGGAGAGGAAAGAGAAATAGGGGGAAGGAAAAGGAGCAGAATGAATACGTGGGATGAAAAATAATAATAGGAGGGAGATAAGAGAAACAAAAATACGAAGAGGGGAAATAGTAAAGCAGTAGGAGACGACGAAAAAAAAGATGATTACTTGTAGAGGAGAAAGAGGGGGAAGAGAAGATGAAGATGAAGGAGGAGGTGGAAGGATGGTCAGATGATGAGGGTCATTAAGTGAGTGGGGCTACGTGTGCGTCGTGGTAATGAGGGAGTGGAAGTCTCATTAACTCCAAGCCTACGGGCATCACCACACACACACACACACACACACACACACACACACACACACACACACACACACACACACAAACAAGAAATAATAATGTTAAAATCAATATAATAATATGTTGGACCGTCGCGAGCAGAGTAAGTGAAACGTGGGTGGTGTTAACCGTAGACTTTCACAGTGGCTGGCCGGGTGGTGCGCGTGAGGTCTAGCGGTGCATCCCGTCTGGCGAGTGGCGATACACTGACACACCACTTTTTTATATTATCAATTAATAACTCTCTCATCTCTCTCTCTTTTACACACACACATACACGCACACAGCCCAGTCCCAACCATTGTACAAATTATCAACACCTAATTATTATATATCTTAATTGTATCACTTATATTACGTGTACATCATTTGTAAATCAAGAGACCCATTCCCCAATTATGTAATTGTATATTTCCAGCCTTCTGGCAGCCATGCTCTTTCAATAAACCGTTAATTATTATTGTTATTACACACACACACACACACACACACGCACAAAAGAAATAATAATGTTAAAATCAATAAAATAATATGTTGGACAGTCGTGAGCAGAGTAAGTGAAACGTGGGTGGTGTTGACCGTAGACTTTCACAGTGGCTGGCCGGGTGCTGCGTGTGTGGTCTGGCGAGTGGCGACACACTGACACATGACTTTTTTATATTATCAATTAATAACTCTCTCATCTCTCTCTCTTTCACACACACACACACACATTCTCTGTTTCACACACACATACACGCACACAGACCGACACAGACACGCAGGCACACACACACACACACCTCCCTCCCAGCACCAGTCTAAACACTCCTGAAGCACCGGTATACGAGCCTCAAGTACCAGTTCACAAGCACTACTCCTCAAGCACCAGTTCACAAGCACTACCCCTCAAGCACCAGTTCACAAGCACTACCCCTCAAGCACCAGTTCACAAGCACCACTCCTCAAGCACCAGTTCACAAGCACTACCCCTCAAGCACCAGTTCACAAGCACAACTCCACCAACACCTGAAGGAGAGACAAACCACCGCCACATACCTTTAGCCAGGGTAGGAAGCACCGCCAATAAAGTGAGAAGGACTCGTAGCCAGCTGGTGTTGCTCTGCTGGGTGCCGTACGCGTGGTTAATGCCGTGGCTGTACGTGGTTGTGGTCTCCCTGCTGCCATGGTTGTGACTCCTGCTGGTGTTGTTAGTGGTGTGGGTGGGTGTCCCTCGGGGGTCTAGGGCTCTGTGGTTAGTGGCCTCGGATAATACCTCAGCCACAGGTGGGGAAGGATTGGCTGCATTGGTTGAGTGTCGTAAAGGAAGGGAGGAGCCATCGTAACTGCTGCTAGAGTTGCCACTGCTTTCAGCGCTCCTTGTGTTGCCATGGTCGGTGGTGCTCATTTTGTCGTGGAGGTCAGTGATGACGTCATTATCAATAGTGCAGACGCGGAAAAATTTTTCAGCGCTGGCGTTACCATGGTAACCACTACCTGCATCTTCACCACTGTGGCCACTACTGTGGTACACAGTAACACTAAGGTTATGTCGCATCGTTGCTGTTGTCACACTCAAGCTTTTATAACAAATTCTCAGTTGAATTTCCACCAGTCACAGAGCTTGTGTTTGTCTGTCATGTTCCTTATCCATATGAACCACATCTCTACTATTATTGTTTATCTCGCCTCTTTTCAGTGTTTTTCTTCCTTTGTGAATATTTACAGACACAAGGATAAGGTGTAAATATATCTTTATTATAAAGGTACCTTTACCACCATGAAAAGAAATGATTTAGTATTGATAATAAAACATATTGTTTACTGTACCGGAAACACCACATAGTTTTCAGGTACTCGTGGTCAGTGTGTCGGTAATTGTCGTTGCCAGACCATTGGCAGCGCTTTTACTAACAAGTTCTTAGCTTTTTCTTGATGTTTATCTTAGAATTACCAGCTTGTGTTTGTCTTGCTGCCTCGAGTTAAAGTTTCGTGACTTGGCTCCGTCTTAGTCGTTAGAGCGTGTCATTAGACCTTCAATTTTTGAACTTTCTTGTTCTCTTCACTCTTGACTTAATCTTTAATCATGAAAACAAATATCTCACTCAACTCTCATGAATATTTCTAATAATATTCTTCACACTCTTTACCACAATATTTCTTGAAGCCTCAGGATGATAAATGTTATTTTCTTACTATTTTACCCGTAAATTTATTTCTTGTGAATCAGACGAGTAATTCTTCTTCTTCAAAAGTTTCGCTTCACAACTCTCACAACTTCTGAAGCTCTTGAGGCTTCTCCCAGGCGAGTGAGTGAGTGTGTGTGTGTCTGTCTGCTCCACCACCTACCACGTTTTTTTCTGTAAAGGAAACCAAAAATCTTAATTAGACTGATGTTGAAGTTATAAAATATAAGGTACTGTAGCTGAAGGAATATGACTTGGAGTATGACCTTGTATCACTTGGTTAGGTTTGGATAGGTTATGTTATGCTATGTTATGTTATGTTATGTTATATTATGTTAGGTTAGGTTAGTATAGGTTAGGTTAGGTTACACTTGGGATCATGATTAACATTCGTAAATGATATCAAATATATAAACAAGTTATTTTTCCATTAATTAAAATCATCATATGAAAAAAATATATAATTTATTTTTGTTCTTCATATTTTGACATCTCCATATAACGGACTTCTCTCTCAATATTATCCGTTTAATAGAAGTTTCACATCTAACACTCTCTATATAACGGACTTTCTTCTCTAATATAGTCCGTTAAAGAGAGGTTTATCACTATATGTACATAAATACATTAATAAATAATATATAAATAGATAGATAGACAGATAGATAGACAGATAGATAGATAGATAGATAGACAGATAGATAGATAGATATAATGTAGCTATATAGGTTGTAATATAAGTGCGACTCCTCGACATCAGAATCCACCAGGTTATATCAATGAAGCCATCGGCCGTCTCCTTGTTGTCGGAAATCACAGAAATGAAACGGGTTCGACATCTGATGAAGTGAGATCAAAGGTTTGGCTACGAGATGAGGAAGGGATGAGATTTCTGCAACATGGGAATATGGGAAGTCAAAGGTTATACAAGGACCCTCCCCATTACCCCATTATCTTCCCATTACCTCCCCATTATACCCCTCCACTACCCCCATTACCCTATTACCTCCCCATTACCCCATTGCCTTCCCATTTCCCCACTACCTCCTACAATCACCCACTACCCCCCACAATCCCCAATATCCCATCACCCCACTACCCCACCCCCACAATCAACCACTACCCCTCCACTACCCCCATTACCTCACTACTCCTCACTACCCTCCCCCCACTGCCCCTCGTCTCTAGGTCTGAACGAAGGGATGAATTAGGACCAAACGACCCCCATCTTTAATGAGAATCGTGTGTTTGTGATGATTAAGGTTGACGTTTGGTGCTATTTAGTGTTTTATTCACTGTGTCGCATTAAGGTTTTACAACATGTACGAGTTAGCACGGTGCTGCCTCTCGTTCGTGTTTACTTACAAAAAATATCTGATATATTCTGCACCGAGAGAGAGAGGAAAAATAATATAATATTTAATATCAACAGCAGGAGCCTTACATAACCTAATCTACCTCAAAGTTAATGTTGTTAAATTACATCTATTTTGTAATTTACGACTCAGGGTACTGAATTACACGCCCTTGCCCTCAGTCAGCAGATTTTAGCCTCACGTACCAGCTGGTGGAGTAGATACGAGAAGCGCAACTTTAACTTGTGTTCCCACAGGTGTTGTGAACACAAGTTACAGTTTTGAGATGAAAACTTCAAAGACTACACCAACTTTTGTGAGGGGAGGTGTAGTCTCTCTGAGCATAGTCCCTCTTGGGTGAAAAATGTGTATGTATGTATGTATGGTTTGTGTTTTATTATAATGAGTTATGGTGTGTGTGTGTGTGTGTGTGTGTGTCTGTGTGTGTGTGTGTGTGTGTGTGTGTGTCTGTGTGTGTGTGTGGCTGCCGGAAGAGTTATATGCCAGAAAACAGGATCAATTATACCTCACTTGTGCCGAATACTAAATTGTTATTGGCATTAGTATTAATTATTGATGTTAGTTCAAGTCACGCAAGAATTTATTTCATTAAGGTAACATTAATCTCACAGCTCAGGTATTAATTATGAATACATAGTTTGGAAGTACACATGGTAAAAAATCTTATTGGATGAGTCCGATGAATTTAGAAATGATCAATACGACTCCTATTGTCTCGGTAGTGTTGTCAAAATATTTCGTCTCCGGTGTCATATTGTTTTGCATAAAAAAAGCAACTTACACGATCAATAATCACAGTTTAAGGAATAATTTAAAAAATATATAGAAAATTTTCCATATTATACGTTTTGGAATATATAGTTTTCATTTAAATTGCAAATTATATAACCATTATGCACAGATATAATATATGAAATGCTTCCCAAAGTTAAATATTACAAATTAATTATCAAATAAAGTATAAATTCTCCACGAACTCAGAGGGACAAGACTAAAATTATATACATGAAACGGAAACCAAATTATAGAAAAATATATAACATCAATTAATTAGATTATAAAAAGACTCAGATCAATGGTAGTATAATAACAGCGGGTTTAGAATTGGGTTAGGTTTAGGTTAAATTAGATTAGGTTAAGTTAAGTTAGGTTAGGTTAAGTAAGGTTAGTTAAGTTAGGTTAGTTACATTTGGCCACTACTACCACTATCACCATCGCAACCATACCCACCACTACCACAACCAACACTACTACCTCTATTACCACCACCATCACCACCACTACCACCATCGCAACCATACCCACCACTACCACAACCACCACCACTACAACCATTACCACCACCACTACCACCATCGCAACCATACCCACCACTACCACAACCAACACTACTACCGCTATTACCACCACCACCACCACTACCACCGCTACCATAACCACCACTACCACAACCAACACTACTACCGCAATTACCACCACCACCACCACACTACCACCGCTACCATAACCACCACTACCACAACCAACACTACTACCTCTATTACCACCACCACCATCGCAACCATACCCACCACTACCACAACCAACACTACTACCGCTATTACCACCACCACCACCACCACCACCATCGCAACCATACCCACCACTACACACCACCACCACTACCACTACTACCTCTATTACCACCACCACCATCGCAAACCATACCCACCACTACCACAACCAACACTACTACTCTATTACCACCACCACCACTACCACCATACCCACCACTACCACAACCAACACTACTACCTCTATTACCACCACCACCACCACCACCACTACCACCGCTACCATAGCCACCGCCACCACATCTTGCTATACATCAGTAGACATTTCAAACATTCACCTCTCATTGGAGATTCGATCCCAGGTTCTGGAGTTTTGGGTTACGAACTGGGAGCAATAAACCAATACATTACTGTAGGCAAGTGCGTGTACTATAGCTGTTAGGTGTGTGTGTGTGTGTGTGTGTGTGTGTGATCTGGCAAGTTTTAGTACATGTTTACACTCGGTCTTTATATGTGTGTTTGTGTGTGTATGTGTTTATTTATGTGTGTGTGTGTGTGTGTGTGTGTGTGTGTGTGTGTGTGAGTGTGTTTTAAAAGGTATTTCCACGTAACTATTTGCATCTATTTATCTACCTTACCATCTATTTCCTTCATAAACTATCTAAGCTAATCTTTCAACGCATCCTTCACCTCTGACTCACTCCCTCTTGATCTAAAATTCTTAAATCCTTAATTAAACTTGCTACACCTTACTTGTTCTTAATTACATTGTCTGTATTGAATTAACTATTATACCGTTACCTGTAATTACCTCAACTTTAACCTTACCTGACCTTACCTTTATTTAATTAACACTACCTGATCTCATTTGAACTTACGTGACATTATCTGTGAGTTATTAATATTATTTGAATTCATGGGATTTTTAATTGATTCTGAATAGTTGGAATTTATTTAGATTGACCTGATTTGACTCTTAATGGCCTCATCGTGTTAAATTTGACCTATTTCGTTAATTTGAAGGTAACTGGAGTTTTTTTAATCATATCGAATCTTAGTTAATTTTATCTGGTCTTATTCTGACCTATACTACGTTAATTGACTTCAAGTGAACAACCCAGCCAAGTACAGTACCTGTTTTAAACCGTATAATAGATGTATATTATAACACAACACTAAAACAGACCGGACAACTCGCAACCGCACTGGCTGACCATTACCCCGGAACACGATCAGCAAATCGATTAACATCTAGGTTTCCAATTACTACTGGGTAGACAGAGGCAAATGGCGTAAAGAAACTTTCCCATAGTTTCACCCTGCCCGAGCATCGAACCCGGGTCCACTCGCTTGCGAGGCGAGCATGTTGACTATTACACCACAGGACGCCACTATGACACACACACACACACACACACTATGTCATACAGGTAGAGAGAGAGACTGCCATCCAGCACTAGATTGATTCGTGTTGATGTATCGCTATGAGAGACATTGCGTTCTGGTGTTGTCGAGCGAATGTCACAAAATTGCAACCTGATGAAACGATTCTCTCCTGTCTGTCTGTCTCTCTCTCTCTCTATTTATCTCTCTCTCTCTCCCTGGTCTATTTGTCGTTCTATTTTTCTCTCTTTCACTGTCTCTTTCCCTCTCTGTTTGTCTGTCTGTTTGTCTTTCTTTATATCTTTCTTTCTCTCTTCTTCTCTGTCCGTCTGTCAACCTCTTTCTCTTCAACACCCCTCCTCACCCCTCCCCCACTCTCTCTCACCACCACCATCACTCCTCCTTAACAAAGGTGTCTGAGGTTTAAGCTATTGGAAAACACTGGAGTTCGCCCAAGCAACACCTTCCTTCCCACCTCCCTCCTCCACGTCACCTTCTACCCCACCAAACCCCACCTCCTATACCCCCCACCTCTCCCCTTTCTCTCACCCCCACCCCCTCCCCACCCCTTCCCCTCGCCCTCGCCGCTATACCTTAGTGGTTGTAACCTCCACATTGATCCATGGTACAGATCCTCTATCGATTCTGAATCAATATTGAGCGCTAATACTGCACCAATATGTTTCGGCTTATGCACGCAATTTGCAGCAGGAAGTCGTCGAGTATGCCCGCGTGTGTGTGTGTATGTGTGTGTGTGTGTGTGTCAATGTATGTGCGTTTGTAAATTCGTACAAACAAGAGTATACATTATAAAACTATGTCTACAAGTATATACGTATCTCTCTCTCTCTCTCTCTCTCTC